GGAATCAGCTCCAGGATGTAGTTTTCAAAATCCTACGCCACACGAATCATATGGATACGTGCACACACACGCACGCACGCACACACACACACACACACATGTCCATGCATGCACAAACACATGCATACACATGTTTAACAGCTGTCTAAAATTCATACTCTAAACCGGGAATTTTCGGTATTTCCCAAAATCAACGGTTCGGTAGCGCAAAAATTTCGCTAAACCAGCTTTCCAGATCCAAAAATGCATTTTGCACACTGTTTGGCATGGCACGCGAATCGATTAGGATTCTTGTGCGTACCGTACTGCAGTCGGCATGTATGTATGTATGTATGTATGCATGTATGTATGTATGTATGTATGTATGTATGTATGTATGCATGCATGCATGTATGTATGTATGTATGTATGTATGTATGTAGACTACCAGCACTGTAAAGTACCGCCAGAGCGCCCCACCATCTCGTCCTTTCATGGTCGTCTTCTGGAGGTGGTCTCCTGTCGGTAGGTCATACGACACGGACCTTGTACACACAATGCACGTTGTGCAGTCAATCCGTACCCAGTTTACCTTTGGGCGGATGGGAGCTCCACATAAAAACATGCCAAGTGTGACCTTGGTACGAGTGTGACCTTGGTACGAGTGTGACCTTGGTACAAGTGTTACCTTGGTACAAGTGTTACCTTGGTACAAGTGTTACCTTGGTACAAATGTTACCTTGGTACAAGTGTGACCTTGGTACAAATGTTACCTTGGTACAAGTGTGACCTTGGTACAAGTGTTACCTTGGTACAAGTGTTACCTTGATACAAATGTTACCTTGGTACAAGTGTTACCTTGGTACAAGTGTGACCTTGATACAAGTGTTACCTTGATACAAGTGTGACCTTGGTACAAGTGTTACCTTGGTACAAGTGTTACCTTGATACAAATGTTACCTTGGTACAAGTGTTACCTTGGTACAAGTGTGACCTTGGTACAAGTGTTACCTTGATACAAGTGTTACCTTGGTACAAGTGTTACCTTGGTACAAGTGTGACCTTGGTACAAGTGTTACCTTGGTACAAGTGTTACCTTGGTACAAGTGTGATCTTGGTACACTAAGGTTCTCACAACGTACACACTTAGCAGCATTCTGCCATACGGTTTTCTTCCCTTGCCTGTAAAATCAAGGTGGGGCGCTCTCGCGAGACGGGGCGCTCTCGCGAGACGGGGCGCTCTCGCGAGACGGGGCGCTCTCGCGAGATGGGGCGCTCTCGCGAGACGGGGCGCTCTCGCGAGACGGGGCGCTCTCGCGAGATGGGGCGCTCTCGCGAGACGGGGCGCTCTCGCTAGACGGGGCGCTCTGGCGAGACGGGGCGCTCTCGCGAGATGGGGCGCTCTCGCGAGACGGGGCGCTCTCGCTAGACGGGGCGCTCTGGCGAGACGGGGCGCTCTCGCTAGACAGGTCGCTCTCGCGAGACGGGTGGCTCTCTGGCGAGACGGGGCGCTCTCGCGAGACGGGGCGCTCTCGCGAGATGGGGCGCTCTCGCGAGACGGGGCGCTCTCGCTAGACGGGGCGCTCTCGCGAGACGGGTCGCTCTCGCGGTACTTGACGGTACTAGTACTACAGTAAACTTTGCGTATAAGGACACTCGGCGGCGGGGCGTCAGAAAAGTGTCCTTATTGGCCAAGTGTCCTTATACCCGAACTCTCATTATATGTATTACAGTTGGATGGGACTTTGCTCTGGGCATGGAAATTCTGTTGTTATTCGCGAATTGTCGTTATATCCGCAGTTGTTGTTAGCCAAGTCGACTGTAGTGCATGTGTCGTGACCCCGAGAATCGGGCGCACTTACAGCACTACAGCCGTCGGCAACTAAATCCGTCCAATGCCATGCTAGCTACCGGTAGCTGTACGGTGGTGCATGGGTCGCATGCACTGCCACTGCTAGCACCGGTACTAGCCTACAAATCAGTGCACGGCACATGCCCTGCTGCCGGGCATGCATACACTCACTCAGTACACGAAGACTAGAACCGAGATCCACTGGAGCATGCACTGTTCTATACCTGATTCACCAGCAGCGGGAACAGCAGCACCAGCAGAGCCAGACCAAGCCATGGTGGTCACACGTGGTGATGATGATCCGAGTGAGCTTACAGCACATGGGCAGAGTCCCCAATGTGTGCCTGGGGTACACAATGATCATGTGTAGTTGTAAACTTACGACTTCAAGGAGAACCCCGGTGCCGTGCGAGTCGTACAGACTCAGGCCTATGCGCGTCTGCTGCAGCCAGACTGTAATGCAGAGATGGAAAGATGTGCACACACGTACACACACACACAGAGAGTATCCTGTTCAGCCGTTCAACACTGTAGGTGAGTGTGGCCTAGGTCAGTGCGTGCCAACACATATCTTCATACGTACAAACACTGTCCTTCAATAGACACCATGCAACATCAATACAGAACATCACAAAACCACATGCAAGTTTACTAGTTTAGGCAATATTCATTCAGGATATTGTTTATGCGCACACAGATCTGCCGTTAAGGGGTTCAAAACTTGTCCAACTTTTCCAACGTTCCCGAACGCTTACGTCACAGTGCTCTCAAACTAATAAGATGAAAAAGAAAATGACCTATAAGCTAGTAGTTATGACTGACAGTGACAGACTAAGGTAAGGAGATATTATACACAGTCATATAGGTCCTTTTCTCTTTACATATTACTATTGGCTCAACACCAGAGTTTTTAATAACATGAAACTCAAACCTCCTTACCTTTTCTCATTATGTAGGCATACAGGCGACTGATGGGTAACCTGGGAGAAAGAGAGAGAGAGAGAGAGAGAGAGAGAGAGAGAGAGAGAGAGACGAGGAGGTACGAGAAAGACATTGATACACAAAGAGACAGACAGACAGACAGGCAGACAGACAGGCACACAGAAATGAAGAAAGACGGAGAGACAGATATGCACATCAGTGGCTGATCCATTGCTGGCCTGAAGAGGGAGCCCGCCTTTTTTTAAAGATATACAGTCGACTCCACTTATAACAGACTCGCACATACATATAGCGAATTACGGGATATAGCGAACCAGTGTCCATGTCCCTCTTTGAACCCGCACAAAGCTGACCCTTTATAGCGAACAGTTTCGGCTATAACAAACCAAACATTGTAGGGCCGTATGTAAACCAGGTGCATTCATTCTGTCGTGGGCCACTTGCAAGTCATGACTTGCTGCTTGTATGGTGTGAGTGCATTTCTGTTATAACAAACTTCGGCTATAAAGAACTAATTCTCCTGCACAATGGTGTTTGTTATATCAGGAGTCAAAGGCTGCACGTACGGTAAGCTCCACAGTGTCAAAACTTCTCAAAAGGTTGAAAGTGCAGAAGTGCCAGGCGCTTGGTAGTCCGTAAGGGCGACAGGGAGCATGTGCCCCCTCCCCCTCCCCCCCCCCCCCCCTCCACCCAACCCACTTCTCAAAAGGTTGAAAGTGCAGAAGTGCCAGGCACTTAGTCCGTGAGGGCGACAGGGAGCATGCCCCCCCCCCCCCCCCAAACCCCACCCTAAAAGCTTTCGACCCTCACTCAGTATGTGAATGCTTGTGCCTAATGGCCTAGGCATCGCAGTTCACGGTACGTGCTGTGAATGCAGAATCTAGGGCCAGTGGGCAAAGTCCACTTGTACGTGTACCGAAAATAAAACTTGTATGCGTAGCTAGCTTTAGCTAAGCTGTACAGCTGCATGGCTGCATGGCTGTACTCTAGAACAGCTTACCGGCCACGGGGGTCTTGCTGGTAGAGCTTTGCATACACCATGGGAGTGAAGTAAGAGCTGCATGAACCATGACAACAACCATGAGAAAAACAATGAGAATGACGATGAGAATGACGATGAGAATGACGATGAGAATTACGTTAGCAACAACAAAAAAGTTGACATCAACGGCAACAGCAGCAACGGCGGCAGCACCAGCAGCAGCAACAATAACAGCAGCATCAACACCACCACCGCCAACAACAAGTGAGAATAAAGAAATCAAACAACACCTCTTATTGGCCACTGGTCATCGTGAGAATAAAGATTTCAAACCACGACGACGACAGCGGCAATGACGGTGAAGGGGGAGGGGGAGGGGGGTATGGGGAGAGGCTGGTGCAAAGGTGACCGACCGGAAGGCCCAGCTACAGCCTTACCTGAACTTTTCGCCGGCCTCTTGGCCTACGCGCACAAAGTCGTCAAAATTGATCATCTGCATTGGGGAGAGAGAGAGAGTCGGAGAGAATTGGAGAGAGAGAGAGAGAGAGAGAGAGAGAGAGAGAGAGAGAGAGAGAGAGAGAGAAATAAACGGACACACGTGTGACCGTTTCACCACTAGGCGAGAGCTGGTCGAGCTGAACACTTTTGGCTATGAACTCTTGGTTACCGTACTGGCAATATATGTTGCCGCAGTGAGGCCATGAAGCGTTACATTGGCACATGTTTGCCGCA